GTTGGCCACGCTGGCCCTGGCGCTGCAAGCCCCGCTCGCCACGCAGCTGCTCTGGGACCGGCTGGGCGCCCGCAACGCCTCCCGCCCCGGCCCCGGCCCGGCAGGGGAGCCCCGCGGCGGCGGCTGCCCCAACCACACCGGCTCCGGCCAGCAGGTGCGTCCCGCGGGGTCTCCGTCCCTCCGCTCGGGGGCGTCTTTTCCAGGCCCTTTGGACTCTGCAGATGGGATGACCAAAAAGGTCTTCGGGAATCCTCTCTCTCTCTTCCACCAGAGGCTCAGAACTCCTCGTACTTTGATACTCTCTCGCCCGGCGCTCCTTTCCGGGTTTCTCCTCCGGGGACACGTCTCTTAACCCTTCGTTGTCCGCGTTCCTCTTTTCCTGCTTTTGAATGATGGTTTATATAAAAACAAAACCCCAAAAAACCCCACTTTAACCTAAGTCATTCATTCGCCGTGATCGTTTACAGGAGGGCACTTGGTTGCTGTTTTATTATTATTATTATTATTGTTATTATTATTATTATTATTATTATTGTTATTGTTATTGTTATTGTTATTTAGGCATGAATCTCAGTCAACTGAGCATTCAAGTTGGCTGGCGCTATTATTATTATTATTATTATTATTATTATTATTATTATTATTATTATTATTGATCATCACACAGTCAGCCAGATCTTCAGACTGGATTTGGCATTTTGTCTACCTATCGAGTCCTTCCCAAGGACCTGGGATAGGCAGATGTGGATTATTATTATTATTATTAATTATTATTATTATTATTATTATTATTATTATTATTATTATTATGGATCATCGCACAGTCAGCCAGATCTTCAGACTGGATTTGGCATTTTGTCTACCTATCGAGTCCTTCCCAAGGACCTGGGATAGGCAGATGTGTATTATTATTATTATTATTATTATTATTATTATTATTATTATTATTATTATTATTATTATTATTATTATTATTATTGTGGATCATCGCACAGTCAGCCAGATGTTCAGACTGGATTTGGCATTTTTGTTTACCTATCGAGTCCTTACCCAGGACCTGGGATGGGCAGATGTGGATGTTTCATGGTATGGAAGCAGTTCCCAGTAAGGCCGCCTTTTGCAATTGACTAACGGCGAATTTGTCAATGCCGATGATGGTGTCCGAGTGGTGCTCCAGTTGTTTTGGGATTGCATCCAAGGCGCCTATTACTATTGGTACCACCCTTGCTTGCTTTTGCCACAGTCTTTCTATTTGTAGGTCTTTGTATTTTGTTATCTTCTCCAGTTCTTTCTCGTCTATTCTGCTGTCTCCAGGCACTGCCACGTCCACTATCCAGACTTCTTTGTCTTTCTTATCGACAATTGTTAAGTCCAGGGTGTTCTGTTGCAGGTGCTTGTCTGTTTGAATTCTGAAGTCCCAGAGCAGTTTAATTTTTTAATTTCCTATGACTTTATTATTATTATTGTTGTTGTTGTTGTTGTTGTTTTTATTTATATAAAAACAAAAAAACACTTTAATCTTTTTCTGCCTTTCCAGGAGCTGGAGACGCTGGTGGCCCACTGGAACCTCTAC